AAGCTGTTTAAATTATTGTCACACAAATGCACAATGTACAACGGAGGAGCACAAGCCCTTGATGTTCTGTGAGTGTTACAACTCCCTTTAGGGCAATACTGCAATACCCACCTCTTTATTATATATATATATATATATATATATATATATATATATATATATATATTAGGGCCGGGACTTTAACGCGTTAATTAAGATTAATTAATTACACAAAAATTAACGCGTTAAAAAAAATTAACGCATTTTAATCGCACTTATTTTTGCACCGCGGAACGTTTCTCACTGGATGAGTTTCAGGCGTACCGATTATACTGGAGCACCAACTAACGTTCATGACTTCAGACAACAACAAACCACAGTGAACAACAGTGGGAAATGTTGTTTTAAAAAACGGACGGATGGAAGCGTCGATAAGAGCACGGTTGTGTGCAAATTATGCAAAAAGGAATTCGCATATCACCGCAGCACATCAAGCCTCAAGTATCACCTCAATGCAAAACATATAGCAGCTAGCGTGGAAGCTAGCGTGGACGTTAGCCTCTTTTATCGCGTTCACACCAAAAAGAGCAGGTACTAAAATTAGTTCATGAGAACCTTTTTACCCCCACGAAAGTCCCTGCTAGAGAGCAGAGAGCTGCTAGAGAGCAGGGACTTTCGTACGGCTCTCTTGTGAGAAAAGAGCTATATGTCTGATTGGCTGGGCGGATTGCAAACCACGCCCCGTAAAACTCCCAAAAAGTTTTGTGAAGCCGCCATTTTATTATCCTGGCATTAGCATTATTAGCATTAGCATTATCCCAGCGCAGAAACGCAGAGAGACTAACTTATGGCAACACAAAATAAAACATGGGAGCGGTGGAGATGAGGAGGTGTCGGCGTTCTGGCGATTTACTCGGAAGGCTGCTGGGACTCCCAGCAGCTTCTACTGAAGCCAGTCCCCAACTCCGGGGACTTCCGGCCGGGGACTTTGGGCGGCAGTATACGCCGTGAAGTGGTTTGCGGCCTGCCAGTAAACCCAAAGCAGAAGAAGAAGAAGTGACGTCAGCGGCTTCATTTGCCTAATCCTCCCCCAGGTTCAAAGAGCTTCTCATGAACTAAATTCTCATGAACCTTTGTGGGAAAAGTACTGCGGTGTGAATGCGCCTAATGGTATACTAAAATCCATGTCTAAAATCTCACTGTTCTTAGGTCAAATATTTATATGTTATTAAAAATGCGATTAATTTCGATTAATTAATTACAAAGCCTCTAATTAATTAGATTAATTTTTTTAATCGAGTCCCAGCCCTAATATATATATATAATTATATATAAAGATTATTATATGCCCATTTTGTTTGTTTCACACGTTCTGTTCGATTCGTTTTCTTTCCAGTTGGTCTACCTGCTCTTCACGTAGCTCTGCATGTCGTCGTTTAGGTGCTTAAGACCCCCCGGAGGTCGAAGTTCACCTTACATTTTTCCATCTTAAGCTTTGTTAGTCAGTTAGTTTCGTAACGGACGTAATGTAACAGCTGTAACGGTTGTAGCTTTTTCTCAGACGCGGAGGGATACTGACTTGTTGTGAAAAGTAACTACAATTCTACCCGTGATATACGCTCATTATATCACGGGTAAGAACCAATCAGATTGCTAGATTTGACTTGTCCGCTTTATAAATATATTTATATATAAAGAAACAGGTCCATATTGGTCTTTGTGACTCAGTATTTCTGAGCAGTATTTATATTCGTCTTTCTTGGCTAACATTGATTGGACAAAGGACGGCTCTATAAATAAAACATTTGATCGTGCCATTTATTGGTTGTGTTGTTTTCCACAAAGACACTTTTAATTTTAAAAACACTGAATACATGCACCAAGCACACATTAACACTTGTCCTTGATATTCTTAGGAAAGCACATGAATAATGAAGAATAACTTTCCATAAAACGTTATACAAACTGTTAGGGATTAATTTTGTCTTTACTCCTAGACATGTAACCTTATTCTGTGTGTTGACATTTACGACCATCCCTGCTTCTAATCTCCCGTAAGGAATGTGTTAATGCAGTCGTATGTTGATACTAGGGTTTATGGCCTGACACCAGTGGGCACAAGGGGGGTTTTCTAAGCTCCAGAGACGTGAGAGACATCTCCTGTGTCTGCAGATGTGTTTACGCCCATCCCCAATATGTGGATTTGACTCTCTGTAAACTAGTTAAAAGGTCTACCAAGATGCGAGGCTGATCAGATTTGACATGGCAACCCACCCGTGCAGTCAGAACCTTTGACTGTGTGACTTGTGATGTGAATTTCTCCGGCCGATGCTTGTATTAAATCTCAGTGTTTGACATCAGAACTCCTGCTCGTCCCGTGTCTCCTTCATGAGTCGGTGACTCCCACTCAGTGGCGTAGCGGAGGCCCCCGCACCGCTTAATCACCGGAGCTTAGGGGGCCCCGCCCCCACTGTAGGCTATCCTCTTAGATTTCGTAACGCGGGAACAGGGTGCAGAGGGCGGGGCCCCCCCCCTCCCTGCTATGTTGCTACGTCATGTGTACGCTGCCTGTAGTAGTACAACAGTGTATCATTATAATTATTTGCTCATCTGCGATAGGGCTAGCCGGCTGATAACTAATGTTCATTGGCAGGCTGGGCAGCGTTCAAAACAAAGCGGGAAGCATTGCTCATATAAATAACGTTCATTAGTTGCGTTGCCGGTAAACATGAAAAATGAAGCGCCACTACCCAAGCGGTGCTCAGAAAAGCAAAATGAGAGCGAAAGCCGAACAGGAGAGGGCAAAACTACCTAAAATAACGTCATTGTTCCGGCAGGCAGCAAAGGTAGACGTAGACTCTAACGTTACTGCAGATAGACCGCTAGCAACCCCCCCCCCCGGCCCCCGGCCGTCAGCTCCGAGTCCAGGCAGACAGCCCAGCAGCCCCGTTACAGCCGAGCCAGCTAGTCGTGCCTCGCGCTTCGAGACAGGTTAGACATTAGAATAATATAAAGTTGTATTCGCCATAACCAGTATGCTACAGGTTACATTGGAATTGGAATCTAATCCGTTCATTTTTGCAGGTCAGCAAGAAGTCAGCTGTGCCCCCTCCGAGGCCAGTTCAGACATAGGCATAGACAAGGCTGCCCAGCCAGCTAGCCGTGCCCCCACAGACCCCAGCAGCCCCGTTACAGCCGAGCCAGCTAGTCGTGCCTCACGCTTCGAGACAGGTTAGAATAATAGAAAGTTTTATTCGCCAATCGCCATAAACAGTACAAGTCAGTATGCTACAGGTTACATTGGAATTGCAATATAATCCGTTCCTTTTTGCAGGTCAGCAAGAAGTCAGCTGTGCCCCCTCCGAGGCCAGTTCAGACATAGCCAAGGTTGCCCAGCCAGCTAGCCGTGCCCCGACAGTGACAGCAGCTCCCACCCACCCCAGGGACACGTTGGCCAGCGACAACTCTGTGACTGAATACCCTACTGATAGGGGGAAATTCCCTGTAGATTTAGAAGACGATGATGTTAAACGGTACATTCTGAATAACGGGCCATGCAAGCCTGAAGGGCCATTCAAAAGGGATGGGAAGGGAAGGTGCTTTTCAAAAGAGTTCTATAACAAAACATCCAAAATTGGATGTAGAATTCCACGAAAGTGGCTATGTTACTCGCCATCTATGGACCGGGTGTACTGTGAGCAGTGCTGGCTGTTCGGTGACAGACCGTCTGCCCATCACCTCCACCAAGCGTGGAGAATAGGAATAAATGATTGGCAGGGTCTCTCTAAAAAGATTAAGGAACACGAATTCTCTCGCTCTCATTTGGCAGCATGTGTCGTGTATGATACGTGGAAAAATAATCTGACCATTGATGCGCAAATATCATCTGAGTTTAAGAGAGAGGTGGGGTTTTGGACCGAGGTCCTAACCAGAATAACTGATGTTACACTAACACTGGCCTCTCGCAACTCTGCTTTCCGGGGTCACAGAGAGAAAATAGGTGATATAGATAATGGTAATTTCTTATCTACCATAGAACTTATGGCGCGTTATGATCCAGTTCTGCAAAGGCTTATTGAAAGCAAAAAGAAGGTGCACTACCTAAGTCCTCAAACTCAAAACGAAATAATTTCATTGCTATCGAAAAAAGTGCAGGACACAATCATTACAGACATACAGAATGCAGAATTCTATTCGATTATAATGGATACTACCCAGGACATTTCAAAAGTAGACCAACTGAGTCAAGTGTTCAGATATGTTACTATAGCAAATGATGAAAATGGAAACCCTACAGAGGTGAAAATAATCGAAAGTTTTTTGGGCTTCCATGCAGTCACAGACCAAACTGCTGCAGGTCTAGAGAGAGAAATTCTCGAATCGATGGAGAGAAAGGGGATACTACTTGGGAAGTGCCGCGGACAAGGATATGACGGGGCTAGCAATATGAGTGGCGTCTACTCCGGTGTACAAAAACGCATAAGGGATAAAGAGCCCAACGCAGTGTACATTCATTGTGCTGCGCACAATTTAAACCTTGTACTCAATGACGCATGCCAAAATATACCTGAGATAAAAGACTTCTACGACACTGTTGAAAGGCTATATGTATTCTTTAGTGGAAGCATCAAACGATGGGAGCTTTTGGAAACACACCTCTCAGTGCCCAAGGCTGGCCAGCCTACACTGAAGAGACTATGCCCGACACGATGGGCATCAAGACAAGACGCCGTCCAATCATTGCGGTTCCGTTATGCTGACATTATGCAAGCGCTAACTAAGATAGACTTGCTCTCCAAAAAAAGCGAGGAACGTGCCGAGGCGACTGGCTTGAAAAAGGCCATGGAGAGCTTTGAGTTTGTTGTAATGACTGTAATACAGGGCAAGGTCCTTGAAACAGTCAACATTGTGTCCCAAGCTCTCCAGCGCAAAGACGTGGACCTCTTACAGGCGACAGCAATGCTTGGTAACGCAACCGATACACTTGCCCAACTCCGAGGAGAGTTTGATGGCTTAAAAGCGCACACGCAAGACCTGGCATCCTCATGGGGTGTCCACAGTCTCTTCAAAGACAGACGCGCAAGGCGCACAAAGAGGCACTTTTCAGAGCTTTGCGAGGACCAGCGGCTCCAAGACCCAGGGGAGCATTTTAGAGTGGCGGTATTTTACGCAAATATCGATATTGTCGTTGCCCAACTCAAAAATCGATTTGTTGGAATGAGCGAAGTTGCACAGCGATTTTCTTTTCTGCTTCCCCGCGAACTTTTGCGCGCAACAGACAAGGATCTGTCTGAGTCCGCAAGTGCTTTATCAGGCCAGTATAAAGACGACCTGTCAGCCGAGTTTCCTTTCCAGATCCTGTCCCTCCGGAATGCTCTTAGGCCTACTATAAAGAAAATTGAGCGTGGAACAATCAAAGACCTTGCACAAACCCTGCTCATTGAAAATCAGTCCATTTTGCCAAGTATCCCCGATGTTGCCACAGCACTGAAATTGTTTTTAACTATACCCGTGACTGTTGCCAGTGCTGAGAGATCTTTCTCAAAATTTAAATTAATAAAGACATATTTGAGGAGCACAATGTCGCAAGAGAGACTGTCTGGGTTAGCAGTCCTTAGTATTGAGAGCCGACGCGCGCGCAGTATAGATTTAAAGACTGTTATACAGGACTTTGCGCAGAAGAATGCCAGGAGACGTGCTCGTATAAAATAATAGGCCTACAAAGCAGCTCCTGATTGCATCCTCTTTGTAGCCTATATAGGATGTGTTTTATTTGCTTGTTTTTTGTAGGCTACTTTTCTTTTATACAGAATGTTATGTGAACCGTTCCGTTGTGTGAACTCCAATGATGATAGGCTATAACGTTCTACAATATACCTTCATGTTACAAAAAATACACAGCCACTTGTTTGTATTTGTCAATTATGTTTCAATCAGATGTATATTATTATACAGTTCCTACTGACCTTACTGTTTAAATCAGATGTATATTATACAGAAAGTTCCTACTGACCCTATACTGTTTAAATCAGATGTATCTATACAGAAAGTTCCTACTGACCTATAGGCCTACTGTTTACAAAAGATGCCTGAAAAAATAAACATTTAAAAAAGTGGCCGCGATGTCTATCCCATGTCACTCTATTATTGATTTAGGGGAGGGGGCGGGGCCCCATGGTCCGACCTGCGGGGGAGCCCCGAAATATTGCGCAACGCCACTGCTCCCACTGCATTGCTACACAGAAGTTTCCTCCACACAAACTGTTGTAGGAGGATATGTTTGATTGTAAAGCCCTCCACTTTTATCCTTACTGATAAACTTGGCAAAAATGATCTTTTACTACTTTTTACGTCAATTCTCTACAAAATAATTGGTGTAAACCATGTGGAGATGCAGATATCACTGACAACAGACACCTTGAGTACATATAAGAGGATTAAATACTAAATTTTTACCACATTTGACAATCTTATATAAGGATAAAAGCATTTCAATTAACTTAATATCCTACAAATGAACACTTCACTACTTTTGATCAGGTTATTATCAACTTGTGTGCGTGTCAGCCCCGATGGGAGCCTCGTGACTCCATGCATACTGCAGAAAATGAATAATTGAGAGCGTGATGAGCAGACGGACCATCTGCAAGCGAGAGACCAACACGGCTCGTTCAGATTCACACTTTACACAATATAACACCAGAATCACTGAGATGTTGTTCAACACAAGAAGAAGAATTTATTATAGGATGCATTTCCGTCTCAGTCCCACCTGTCGAGCAGCGACCACACATTTGGTGCACAGTTCATAATCTCCTTTTCGGTACAGATACGATGGTTTCTTTTTTCTGTGTTTTCCTCCCAACAAGTTTCTTAATGCTGCATTAACTAACTTCCCCTTTGGGTCTTAAGAGTGAAGTTGATACCCAATAAATTACGTTTATTTGCAGGAGCAAAATGGCTTGGTTTATTAAAAGATACTGGTTGTGCAGTTCTTTGTGAAATGGTGTCTTCATGGTTAAATGCTCTCAAATGCCCATTCAGATATCCAGTTGGGGAAAAAATGATGTTTACCTTGAAGCGTTATGACAAAAACATACTGCAGGCCATTTCTATTCACAGTGCAATGACTTATCAAGACTCACAGCAGTTACTGTGTATCACAAAGAATGTATGGGCTCAGAACAGTCTCATAATACACACATGCACACAGAAGGAGTCACACTTGTATTTCCGGATCCACACTTGTGTTTTTCAATGCACACACAAATGTGTTCCGTTTCATATGCATGTAAATAAAATCCAAATACAGAAAAAAGTTTTACATATGTATTTTTGATCCACACATATTTGTTTTCCGTTTAAATCCTCTGAACCTGCAAACACAACCCGCTTCCTGTGCACGGATCGCTGTGCATTCGTGTGTGGGTTTTTTGAGACTCCCCTGACGGTCACCCGATTCGTACTTGTATTTTTTTCTATCTATAGCCAATCAGATGTCTCCTTCATTCTAAGCCAATCACATGAGCGCGCCCCCACGAGGGTAGATTTCTTGCGTTCATGACGTAGCGCTTCATGTACGCATTTTGCGCTGTCCGGTCAGCTCGCTAAACAGAGGGCGGAGCATCAGGTGATCATGCAGAGCTGCGTGTCTCCGTCAGACTCAGCAGCTGATCTGATCTCTCTCTCGCATCCGGTTACACTTCACTCGCGTTTATGTCCATATCGATCAGATCCAGCTCTCCTGATCGGCCTTTATAGAGAGCACCGATCAAACTATTAAGAGCCGATAATGACCGGCGGGGCTCCCCCGTTGACAGGTCACTGTCTAGCACTGGCTTCGTAGTGCACTGATCGATTAGGCTAAGCTAACCTGTAGCTGCTCCCTCCACACTCACAACAACTTCATGCAGACATAAATAAAGCAGCTGTATTCGCCACACAGGAAACACACATTTAAAACGGTTTTGCCTGCCGTGTTTGTGTACACAAGCATTCATCAATGGATCGGGAAGTGGCGCTGTACCTTAATAATATAAAGGCTTGTATTTGCGTGCATTTCCTGTTCGGAAAGTGGCGCTGTACTGAGTGGAGGTGTCCTGAGATTAGCGCCTGCAGGCAGGCTCCATGGACCTGTCAGCTCCCGACTGAGCAAAATGCGTACATGAAGCGCTACGTCATGAACGCAATAAATCTACCCTCGTGGGGGCGCGCTCATGTGATTGGCTTAGAATTGAGGAGACATCTGATTGGCTATAGATAGAAAAAATTACAAGTACGAATCGGCTGACCGTTAGGGGAGTCTCAAAAAACCCACACATGAATGCACAGCGATCCGTGCACAGGAAGCGGGTTGTGTTTGCAGGTGCAGAGGATTTAAACGGAAAACAAATATGTGTGGATCAAAAATACATTTGTAAAACTTTTTTCTGTATTTGGATTTTATTTACATGCATATGAAACAGAACACATTTGTGTGTGCATTTAAAAACACAAGTGTGGATCCGGAAATACAAGTGTGACTCCTTCTGTGTGCATGTGTGTATTATGAGACTGTTCTGAGCCCATAAGAATGAGCTCTTACAAAGCAGAGATGTGTTTCTGCCCTTTGTGATATTCTGTTTTTCTTCAATCTGATGTGGAGAGATCTCTCATTGATTATTTGGGACATAAAGTTTAATGTACAATTGATTTAGCTGTTTGGGTAAAGACTCACACTGACATAATTAGAAACTGTTGTAAATCTGTCTCTCAGTGAGAACTTGTGTCGATAACCTCCTGTAGTAATACTGTGAGAAATGATGCAATTAAAAATCGCAAAGCCTTACATTTCTTTTTTACTTGTTTTTGTTCTTCTTGTGTGTCAGTCCTCCACACCAATCAGAAGTGCTGTGCTCCACATGTACCAGCCATTGTTAACCAATCAGAAGTGGCCCATGATAGAAGGTGATAGACAGATTGATCCAATCACCTGCCAAGTGCTTTTGAAAGTGCCTGCCCTTTCCAAATGGCTTCCAACGGAGCTTTAGATGCTTTGGTGAAACCATCTGAGTCAGGTTAGTAATGCTCCATCACATGTTTCTATTACAGGGGGAATCTGAAACTGAAGCTTGACTTTAAAGCAACCCAACGGAAGTTTCATGTAAGTTTAGTTATTTCACTCGTAGCTCGGGCTGCGGGGGTGCTAGAGACGGGAGCACGTTGATACGACCTTCCTAGCCGGAGATATGGCCGCATTTTACAATAAACTTCCGTTGGGTCGCTTAAAAACAAATATCGCAAATCGAATCGCAATATCTATCAGAAAAATCGCAATTAGATTATTTCCCGAAATCGTGCAGCCCTACATGACACACACACACACAGACACACACACACACACACACACCACACACACACACACACACACACACACACACACACACACACACACACACACACACACAGCCAATGACCTCTCCAATGCCACCTTCAATGGAGAGGTCATAATCAAAAAGGTCTCATTCTCTGCAAAAACGGGAAAATGAAATTAGAAGTCTGAGATATTTTTGGATAATGTTTCTCTTTGTATCCGTAGTTTCTTGTTTCTAGAGGTAAACATCACCTAAGAACCATGAGTGTCTGTGAAATGTGACAGTGATAGTTTGATAAATGACACCAAGAATCAACAGCAGACTGTCAAGAGATAAAACCAAGAAACCGCTCTCCGTTTCCGTCTTATATGTATATTCCATATTCCAACGGTATGTTTGAGGCATCATTGGGACTGAAAAGTTCTGTAATCACCTTTCAGCATATTGTAAATCAAGACGGTTGACTTTCACCGTTCATCATAGAGAGAGAGAGCATTTCAATTTGGTGAGATGCCCATGCACCTCCCTTTTGAATAGAAACAGCTCTCATACAATGAGGAGTATCCTGCAGGATAAGTGGCTGCTCCAACATTGAAATGGAAAGAGAGTGGGCAATTATATTTGAAGCGTTTCAGAGATGGAGAGAAAACTATGCCAAGAGTTTTTCACTGTGCTTTATCCATCTCTCTAATAGTTTAGCTTGCTGTGTAAGCTCACCGCTAAAGGAGCCATGAAGAGCTAAAGTCAAGCTAAAGCACACATTTTGTATTACACACAGGCCCACAAATATGCACAGAAAACAGGACTATATTGCAGAATTGATCCACACTCACCAATGGGATGTCGTTTGAAATCAATGACTCGTATAGGTTACTCTATATGCTTGCCTTGTGGCAGTTGAGTGGGACACACACACACACACACACACACACACGCATACAATCCCTCTGCAGCAACCACACTAGGAGCCATCGACACCCACTTCCATTTTTCATTCATTTTATCTCAAGCAGTGGTTCTTCCAGCTGTCGTCCACTTAAAATAAACAAAATACTGTATATAAATAAAGAGTTGTGTATGGTTGGTAGTACTGAATAATCATCCTGTATGTCCCCTGGGCAAGACACGCGGTACCTGTCAGGTTTACAGAGCGCTCTCTACCCTCCTGTCACAGGCTTTGGAGGAAATGTACAATAACACCTCCAGAGAGTTAGCTTTGCATATTTGATATGCGTTGCACATATATGCAACGCTCCATGAGGCGAGGCCACCACGTCTGCTCACAGGACTGATCCTACACACATTGCATTATATGGAAGTGTTGGACAAATACAGATATACTCGTGATGATGGATCTTCATCAGCGGGATGATAGGAAGGATATGTATTATCAGTCAATGGTAACACCAGTGAGAAACATATTTGTTAAGTAAGAGTGGTGCAGGGATGATGTACTTTTGTTGTGCTCATATCAGTATGTAGTGTATCTACTTTAAAGAGTCCTCTCCTGCTGATGTTCAGGTGTATATCAGTATGTAGTGTCTCTACTTTAAAGAGTCCTCTCCTGCTGATGTTCAGGTGTATATCAGTATGTAGTGTCTCTACTTTAAAGAGTTCTCTCCTGCTGATGTTCAGGTGTATATCAGTATGTAGTGTATCTACTTTAAAGAGTCCTCTCCTGCTGATGTTCAGGTGTATATCAGTATGTAGTGTATCTACTTTAAAGAGTCCTCTCCTGCTGATGTTCAGGTGTATATCAGTATGTAGTGTCTCTACTTTAAAGAGTCCTCTCCTGCTGATGTTCAGGTGTATATCAGTATGTAGTGTCTCTACTTTAAAGAGTCCTCTCCTGCTGATGTTCAGGTGTATATCAGTATGTAGTGTCTCTACTTTAAAGAGTCCTCTCCTGCTGATGTCCAGGTGTATATCAGTATGTAGTGTCTCTACTTTAAAGAGTCCTCTCCTGCTGATGTTCAGGTGTATATCAGTATGTAGTGTCTCTACTTTAAAGAGTCCTCTCCTGCTATTGTTCAGGTGTATATCAGTATGTAGTGTCTCTACTTTAAAGAGTCCTCTCCTGCTATTGTTCAGGTGTATATCAGTATGTAGTGTCTCTACTTTAAAGAGTCCTCTCCTGCTGATGTTCAGGTGTATATCAGTATGTAGTGTCTCTACTTTAAAGAGTCCTCTCCTGCTGATGTCCAGGTGTATATCAGTATGTAGTGTCTCTACTTTAAAGAGTCCTCTCCTGCTGATGTTCAGGTGTATATCAGTATGTAGTGTCTCTACTTTAAAGAGTCCTCTCCTGCTATTGTTCAGGTGTATATCAGTATGTAGTGTCTCTACTTTAAAGAGTCCTCTCCTGCTATTGTTCAGGTGTATATCAGTATGTAGTGTCTCTACTTTAAAGAGTCCTCTCCTGCTGATGTTCAGGTGTATATCAGTATGTAGTGTCTCTACTTTAAAGAGTCCTCTCCTGCTGATGTTCAGGTGTATATCAGTATGTAGTGTCTCTACTTTAAAGAGTCCCCTCCTGCTGATGTTCAGGTGTATATCAGTATGTAGTGTCTCTACTTTAAAGAGTCCTCTCCTGCTGATGTTCAGGTGTATATCAGTATGTAGTGTCTCTACTTTAAAGAGTCCTCTCCTGCTGATGTTCAGGTGTATATCAGTATGTAGTGTCTCTACTTTAAAGAGTCCTCTCCTGCTGATGTCCAGGTGTATATCAGTATGTAGTGTCTCTACTTTAAAGAGTCCTCTCCTGCTGATGTTCAGGTGTATATCAGTATGTAGTGTCTCTACTTTAAAGAGTCCTCTCCTGCTGATGTTCAGGTGTATATCAGTATGTAGTGTCTCTACTTTAAAGAGTCCTCTCCTGCTGATGTTCAGGTGTATATCAGTATGTAGTGTCTCTACTTTAAAGAGTCCTCTCCTGCTGATGTGCAGGTGTATATCAGTATGTAGTGTCTCTACTTTAAAGAGTCCTCTCCTGCTGATGTTCAGGTGTGTATCAGTATGTAGTGTCTCTACTTTAAAGAGTCCTCTCCTGCTGATGTTCAGGTGTATATCAGTATGTAGTGTCTCTACTTAAAGAGTCCTCTCCTGCTGATGTTCAGGTGTATATCAGTATGTAGTGTCTCTACTTTAAAGAGTCCTCTCCTGCTGATGGTCAGGTGTATATCAGTATGTAGTGTCTCTACTTTAAAGAGTCCTCTCCTGCTGATGTTCAGGTGTATATCAGTATGTAGTGTCTCTACTTTAAAGAGTACTCTCCTGCTGATGGTCAGGTGTATATCAGTATGTAGTGTCTCTACTTTAAAGAGTCCTCTCCTGCTGATGTTCAGGTGTATATCAGTATGTAGTGTCTCTACTATTGACTATAATGACTATAATATGTTGGGGCGCTAGCCAATAAGAGCGTGAGTGTAGGTGATGTCACTATGTTCTTGAAGTAAAGTCCAATTGAGGCGTTTTCAGAGAGAAACACATGGAAAACATAATAGGGACATTTTTAATAGGGGTTTCCAGATGAAAAACGTTGTCCCCCGCACCCAGCTCTGTCCTGGGGAGACCTCTATGAAGGGAGACAGGCGAGTGACGGCCAACCTGTCATCCCTGCTGGACACTAAGTCCCGCCCCCTACAGTGTGCACTGTGCCGCTCCAATTGACTGCTGCACCCAACGTGTTTCATGGAGAGATAACACAGCATTCAGGCTGATAGACCACCACACACACACACACAAACACACACACACACACACACACACACACTATAACAGCACTATAACAGGGTGTCCAAACTATGGCCCGGGGTCCAAATGCGGCCGGTGGTCCATTTTTAATCGGCCCGCAGCAAATTCTAAATGGAATATGGCCCACACGGGAAACTTGGGCTTGTCTTTATTATCTTACTTCTTCAATATGTAACAAATATATTTCACAATATTAATGTGCATGCCCAAATTTCATACAAAATCAGGCGAAAACATGAAAACATACTAAAACAAATCTAAATTGATAAAAGAAAGCCCAATAATGAATGACTCTTCCTATTTCCCCTTCCGACCCCCGCCCAATCTGAGACTTCTGACTTCTGAGGCATGTCCAGTCCTTCGTATCTTTTCCTGTATGAAGCCCTCAGTGAAAATGTTTTGGACACCTCTGCACTATAACGCAGTGGCAAACCGTCTCTATCACAACTGGACCTTCTGTAGACACACACACCCCGCCTCCGCCGTTATAATGTCCGTATTTTCACTGAATTGTCGTCTTGAAATCATCTTCACCTGTCGCACTCGCCATTTCAACGTTAAAAACAATACAACGGCATGAATTGCTTCGTGGCATTCATCTAGATCAGTGTTTCTCAAACTTTTTCATGCCAAGGACCACTTAACCAATAAAAAAACACTCGCGGACCACCTAACTCCACAAATATCCAAAAACACATTGTTTTTTAGAAATCGCCTGAAAATGGTACAAACAAGTGGCCACATGTGTGATGAAGGTGTTTATCTGGGCTATATCATGCAATTGAAAGTGAAACTTAAGCTCGCTCCATTGCGGATATATTCCCGCGAGAGTGCGGAAAACTTGAATTAATTAATTAATTTCAAATGTGAAATTTTACCAATATACTCACGGACCACTAGGGGGCGCTCACGGACCACCAGTGGTCCGCGGACCACACTTTGAGAGGCACTGATCTAGATCCTCTGTCTCGAGCCAGTGAACGAGCGGGCCTTCTAGAGCACCCTGGAACCGAGGGAAACTCTGAAAGAATACACCCATTGTTTAAAAATCAATATATGATTGGTTGATCAAACTGTCAATCCAAACGTCCGCTCTCATTCAGTGTAACGGTACGTCCACACGGTTCCGTTGCGTCGCGTAATATGCATAATAAAGAGTTTCCCCGCGAGACACAAGTCATATAATCACTATCATGCACCTTTAAATGTGATTGTGCAGTGCTGTATATCATCATCATGTTATATAGAAGTATAGAAAGTTTTAGATTCAGATTTAGTCAATTTCCTCCTTGATTGTTTTTTCAATATTTAGTTCACGAACATATTTTAATCTTGCTCCAGTCAACAGATGATTACACACATCATAGGAGCTTGTATTTCAAACTGCGCTTTACTGGTAGTATGCAGCAGGATGTTTAAGTAAATCCACTTAAGCCCTTTAATCAGTCAGCAAAATATGAGTCCAAGTCATTAGCAAAGACAAACAGGAGAGAAGCCTTTGATCTGTGATGACTTGTGTGTGTGTGTGTGTGTGTGTGTGTGTGTGTGTGTGTGTGTGTGTGTGTGTGTGTGTGTGTGTGTGTGTGTGTGTGTGTGGTGTGTGTGTGTGTGTGTGTGTGTGTGTGTGTGTGTGTGTGTGTGGTGTGTGTCTGTGTGTGTGTTTCCTAGGTGTGTGTGAGTCTTGTATAGTATCTGAATGTTGTGCACGTCTTCCCCCCAGATAGACGAGCTTCATCACTGTGCAAAACCTGCACTAATGTTTACAAGCAAGTTATTCATATGCTGTGAGGTGTTGTTTTTTACCAATAAATGATTGCACTAGCCCCCGAAGTCACATCTGAGTCGTGATGGTTTCACCGGAGGACTCGCTAACGTATCCAGTTAGGAATTTATGAAGTACACACAGATATACCTGCTGCATACGGGAGGATCTTAGACTCTACGGACTGAAATATCATCAATTAAAATGAGTCGCTGTGGTTCTGCAGCAGGTGGTGTTTACAAATTAAACATCCCCCATCAAATGTTATAGCTCAAGCCATTTTTTAAAAGTCTATCTCTCTCTATCTTTTTTCCTCTGCCTCTTATTCTCTCTCTCCTGTCTCAGGCTTGAGTTAGATGAGGCATTGTTTTCCAGTTTGGAGTTTGTTTTCAGGCAAGAAGTAAAGAAAAAATAAATAAGCTATGGGCACTGGAAAAACTATTTATTTGTAATGATGGTCTCTGTCTGCTTATTATTTCCTGGTTCACCTTGACTGCTCTCTGATCAGATCATTAGATTGGAAACGTAATAAACCAAAGTCTGAGCTCCGTTGTCAAAACATCTTATCTCAACATCATTGATTTACCTGTGGAAAGGATCAATGGGCTTAATCAGGATATAGGACAGGCTTTTCTGATGTCAATATAAAATATTATATCATCTTTTTAAAGGATGAAAAAGATAGATATAGATCTTTAATGTGTCATTGTACAGGTACAACGAAATTACAATGAACTCAAGGTGCCAACACGCAACAACAAGACAATATGAAAACAACAAGACACTATAAAAACAAGAAATGGGACTTAAATAGACATGATAGGGAATATGTTCATAAATAAATAATAAATTGCCATGGAGCATTCAAATACATTTCAATCTTCTTTTTTTCTTCTTTCGTGTAACGTTAGAGGTCCAACTCGGTGTCGTGTAGCCATGCCCGCATCTCTGGTCCTAGGTCGAAGAGGCTGGCTTCCGAGGGTGGTATATATAAGGGGCAGATGGTGATTATATGGACAGCGGTCTGCTCAGGGTCACCGCACTCGCATGCCGCACTGTCCGCCAAGCCCCACGTCTTCATCGATGTTTTAAAGCGACCGACCCCAGTTCGTAGATGGTTCAGAATGGTCCACTGCCGGCGCGGTAGGTCGTCTCCTCCAATGGCGCCATCTCCTGGGTCCCAGATGTAACGGTGGATTCGGGAGGGCCCGGCTGACTCCCACTCCTGCTTCCAAGCTGCTGCCAAACATGCATCTCTGGAGATGTCCTCAGAGGTGGAGTTGAGCATCTCTTGAGCTGCTTTGTTGTAGGGGTGGCGGGACTTGAGTCTGCTTGGAGGTGCCTCCCGTCGGAGGCCGGCCGGTGCTATTCCCGCGAGGACTGACAAGAGGGACACAGGGGTAGGCTTTAAGCATCCAGTTATTATTTGGAGGGAGGTATTGATAGCCACGTCGACCTTTCTCGCATGAGGGCTTCTGCTCCAGACTGGGGCGCAGTATTCCGCTACAGAGAAGACCAGGGCTTGAGTGGATATTCACAGCGTCTTAGCGGAGGCTCCCCAGGTTGTTCCAGCGAGGCGGCGGATCAGCGCGACCCTGGATGTCACCTTGGCCTTGACTTCTTCCAGGTGTTTTTTAAAGGATAATGTCCGATCCAGACGCACTCCAAGATACTTCGGGGCTTGCTGGACCTCCAGACATTTGTTGTTGCCGCGCACCTCAAGTTCCCTCCTGGCTTCTCTGGTGCTAAGGTGGTATGCCGCAGCGACTGTTTTTCCGACGCTGAGCTGTAGACGCCACCTTCGGAGGTATGCTACTAGTGTGCTCATGTCTTCGTTAAGACCCTCTTCCATCGCCTTCCACGTTGGTCGGCTCAGCATGATGGCAAGATCGTCTGCGTAGCCATACTTTCTAGATGCTGTATCAGGTAGGTCGTGGATGCGAGAGAACAGACCCCTGCGGTACCCCGTTCTTCAGTCTTCTGAGCCTACTGCACTGGCCACTGCTGGTCTGGAGGATGAAGCTACGGTTGGAAAGTGTCTCCGTGATGAACTTCACCATGTGGCGGTCCGGTATTGTCCTCAGCAGCTTCAGGTGGAGTCCCCGGAGCCACACGGTGTCATATGCAGCAGTCAGATCCAGGTACACTACCCCAGCTTTCTCATTGTCCTGGAAGCTGTCCTCGATGTCCTGACAGAGTAGTGTTACCTGGTCTGCTGTTGATCTTCCACGACGGAAACCAGCTTGTTCCCGTGGGAGCTGTGTGTCCACCACTGGATCGATGCGGCTATGGATCATCCTCTCCAAGATCTTAAATGGGACACAGAGCAACGAGATTGGTCTGTATGACTTGGGGTCTTCTGCAGATTTATTTGGCTTCGGCAGAGCTATGACAGAGGCACGGCGCCAAGTCTTTGGGAGCTTTAATCTCTGGTAGCATGATGTATAGAAAGCACAGAGCCAGCCAGATGTTGTTGTGCTCTGGTGGATGACGAACTCCGGGTGGATGTTGTCACGGCCAGGGGATTTGCCTGGCTTGAGCTTGCTCATGGCCTCACTGAGTTCCTCTGCTGTGAATTCTCCCGAAAGGTTGGAATCGACACTGGCCGCTCCCGAGATGCAAGACACCTCACGCGATGTCAGTCGGGCAAAGGCTTTGTCAGCATCCGGGAAGCGGCCGTTCTTCAGGAGCTGGGATGCGATGGCGTTTGCTGTGACTGGGCAGCTGTGGGGTGTTGTATTTCTGCCTGTGAGCTGGTTGATGGTCTGCCACGCCTTGCGACTAGAATGGGTGAATTTGATATGATTTGATTTACTTTATTAATCCCTCGTGGGGAAATAGTTTCTCTGCATTTGACCCATCCTAGTGTTAGGAGCAGTGGGCTGCCATTTTGAACGGCGCCCGGGGAGCAGTGTAGGGAACGGTGCCTTGCTCAGGGACACCTCGGTAGCACTTGGTCTTGCCGGGACTTGAACTGGTGACCTTCCAGTTGCCAAGCCAAGTCCCTATCGACTTCGCCACCACCGCCCCCAGTCGATTGATTCAACGACCTCTGTCCATCTGGCCCTGCGGGTGATATCCAGCTTCTTGAGCAGTGCTGCTGCAGTCACATCCACCTCTTCTCTGGAGCTAGCCCTCTGGTGGTCACACAGAA